CATGAACAATCTGTTCATGTCAAGAGACAGACAGCGCAAGAGAGGACAGCGGATTAGACCAACTGATACAGCAAGAGGAAGGAGTAAATATTTGTGGCCTAGGCGCAATGCAAAGCAAAATACACTTTTTCTATACCATAAGCATAGCCACAAATACAAAAGTGATGAGAGCACTGACTGAAAGTTCTATCTCTGTATTTCGGCTTTATAACCACTAGGACGAGAAACATTAGCCTTATGTATCTAAAAATTAAAAAATAAATAAAAGCTTGCTAAGTAGAAGAAAACGTAATATAAAATTATAATTTTTATTTAGTCTGTATATCACAAAGTTGCTGAGCTTTCCATGTGGAGGGGTAGTGAAAGCTGTATTACTTAGTACACTTTTTCCACTAAATACAAGTTAGTCCTAGCAATAAAACAAAGGGAATGTGAGCCTTTTTTCCATTCTTAAGTTTTTGCTGGTTTCTAGTATTTTAAATGTTGCACTGAATAATGAAGTAACCTTAAAGCTCTTCTAGAACCTGACACCCTAACAACATCACAAAGAGCAACCCAGTTCAAGTGGCAGATTCCAAATCTCGCTCCATCTGATTATGTATTTTCATTACATAAACGGCAGTTCCCTTGCCCATGGGTAACGTCACCAAGGGTGCCAGCAGACATGTCCCTCCCTTCGCTTGGCCCCTGCTCTCCTGCGGGCAGGGGAGCGATTCACACCGGGAGCCGCTGTACAAAGCCATAATGGAAGAGGACCGTAGTGCTATTAAAGCTCTGCTGGCTGATTATTCTGTCAATGAACCACTGAGTGTGTGGAAGGAGCCTTACATCATGGATCTGCTCTCCTTCCAGGTAACCATTTGATCAATATTATCATTTAAGAAATTAAGAAAAAAAAATAATTAAGAATCATTAAGTGTTTGTAATTTCTAAATCTGACAGATTGGAATCAGACTCCTGAATCTTAGTAAAACATAAAAGAAGTGACTGAGCTTGCCAGGGTAAAGAAATACCACTTTGTGGAACATGTATCTCCAAGAGAGCAGTATGGAAGCCTTAAACGTTTCATATTTGTTTGAGGAGGTCAATGGACAATCAACGTGGATTTCAAAAAGACATTTCACAAGATCCTCACCAAGCCCTGTGCTAAACTCAAATGCAGTGAGATAAGAGCAATGGTCCCCACACAGATAAGGAATTGATGTAAAGACACAAAACGATAGGAATAAGTAGTCAGCTTTCATAGTGACTGCTGGCAATAGAGATGAGGTCTGAATACAAAGAATTGTAGAAGATTCCTTCAGCATTTTGCAAGCAGGCAGTTTAATGACAAAAGAAATAATTGCAAATAAATGTGAAAATGTAGATGCTGATCTATGAAGGGAAATACAATCATTATTTTAAATGTGTAACAACTGTCTCTGAATTGACTTACTGCTCAATAGAACTGCTTTACAACTAGTGGACAGTTCTAAAAATGTCACTTAATGCTCAAAATGGGTCCAAAAATCATGCTGAATGCTAGCAAACATTGAGGGGGAAAGAAATAAAGCAGAAAGCATCATTATGATACTATACGAATTTATATACTGCCACCTTCAATACTACATGTAGTTCTGAGCCTTCTGTCTCAAAATGGATCTGAGACCTGGAAAAAGATAGAGATGGGCAATATGAATGCTCTAAATTTGGAAGGGCCATAAATTTGGAATTCCGCTATTTGTGGAATCTGTAAATATAAAACAAGAGGTTTGATAAAGACTTAAGTCATTTACAAAATGGAAAAGGTGAGTAGGGAACACTATTCACTGTCTCTTCCAAAAAATGAAAAAGGTGATATTAAATTATTGGTGGTAACTCAAAACTAATTCATTATACATCCTTACCCACTGGAGAGTTAAACTGGAAATATTGCCACAGGATGGCTGCTTAAAGTCCACTTGAGTTTAAAAAGTGACAAATTCTGATAGCCATTTACAGGTATTTCTAATGAGATACTACATGTAGCAAGTCTATTAGCCAGAAATGGCTGAAAGGTGCCAAAGTATTTTGCATCACGACCTCGTGCTCTTATATGGGCCCTGAGACACTCACTATTGGCCTCTTATCAGAGACAGAATTTTGCACCAGATCCTTGCAGTGACTTGATTTCCAGTACAGTCTATGGCAGACACTAAGTATTAACATCTTATAAATCTTCTTTAATTCCATGCTAAATGAAGAAATCAGGAGCCTTTGCCTTAGAATTGCAACTATAAAAATGGCTGCAAAAATTACCTTCAAAAATCAAGCACAAAACAGAAAAAAAAATACATCAGAAATATAATAACCAGTACTCATAACTTGCTTCATTTTGTGCAGGATCATGCTAACTCTCCAATCCACTTAGCTGCTAAGTACAGAAAAGAAAGAAGTTTGCAATGTTTGCTAGAATCAGGTGCTGATCCAAAAATAAGGTAGGGCCCAATGAAGATGCTTTTGCTGTATTCTGTCAAGAACATACACACGTGCATACTAGCATTCAACATGAATGCAACAGGCTCTTTTAATTATTATAACTATTTTCCTCAAACTATAATATACCCAACTTGGCAGAGTGGAATCACATCTGTTTATCATTTCGAACATAAAATTTAGTTTTGTTTTATTCAATTAACATAAACAGAAACCACTATCAGAAACAGTATCTGTTAATGTTGCCACACAACACTAATCATTGTTGAATATATTTTTTACATGGCAAAGTGCCTTGTTACAATAACTGAAAGAAAAAAATCTAAATTGAAAATAGAGTAAAAAGGGCAAGAATTAGTCCTACCACTTGCTAAACTTTGCTGATTTGCAACACAAATCTGGCCTCGGATTTGTCCCATGACACTCCATAATCCATTCACCTAGATCCCTGAGCGTGGCCAGATTAGGCCACAGCTGTGACAGATCTGCTGCCTGCACCATGTAGCTCGTAATGCTCCTTCTGCGACATTCACTCAGCTGGAGCTGAACCGAAAAGTCCTATTTTTCACACTAGAAAACTGAGAAATCAGGGGTCTGAAGGCCGAGCACTTTCTGAAGAAAGGGGCTATGCCTAGCAAAAGTAACTTACTGACCCAGCTTTGGATGGGTCTCAGCAACTCATAAAATCTAACTGAACTTCTGGGACCTATTACTATGCCACGCTTTTCCAGTTTAGGAGGTTTAATCTCAGTCATCTTTAGCCTTTAGACTATTCCCCTGAAACTCCTGCTATGTATAAGACACTCTTGTTTACCTAATAAAAACAAATTAACCCAAAACAATGCTTTATGTTACAGGAATAACAGAGGCTACACAGCACTCCATCTTCTCCTACTAAACTTGCCTAGGAGCTGCACAGCTCAGGCACCCATCTCAGACAAACTCCAGAGAAATCAACCAACTTTACAACATAACACAGAAAAGTCTCTCTGTACCTTGCGCAAGGTAAAACATCATATAAATCCTGAAATGAATAATCACAAAAATGACAGTCTTCTACAGTTAGGCCAACAGTCTGAAGGCTTTCGAGCTATATCCGTTCTCATTGAGCATGGTGCCAATGTGGATGACACGGACAAGTTTGGCAGGACAGCTCTTCACATAGCTGCAATGGCACTAGATGAACAGGTAACAGCAACTCTTATCGCCTATGGAGCAAACATTAATTTTCCTAACCCAAAATGTGGAAGAACTGCCCTTCATTTTGCAGTGTGCACAGCATCATTTAAAGCAAGCAGAATTTTAGGTACCAATGTAGATTGCATTCGTTTACTATTAAATAACGGAGCCAAAGTTAATATCCAAGATCATGAGGGACGAACAGCTATTCATGAAGCTTGCTCAGGTGGCAGAAAGGAAATAGTTGATCTCCTATTAGAGTATAAAGCAGATGTGAATAGCTTAACAAGGGATGGACAATCTCCACTCTTTACATTTCTTCAGCACAGAACAAATTTAAAGTATACGGCACTGCTGAACAAGTTGCTAGGACTCTCATATCCATTGAGGTTAAGAGATGATCAAGGACATCTACCCCCTGGACTTCTGTTCTCAGAATTTCAAATGCTGAAAGACCGACTTATAACTTTATCAAATAAACTACCATCTCTGCAGGACATCTGCATCTTCACTGTTAGAAGAATATATGGTGAAAAGTATAAGCACTGGCTCAAAAAAAGACTTCCAGTAATTGTATGGAATTCTTTATACAAATACGAGGACTTCTCAACACTTTGGAAAAATAAGACCATGATGATAACATGGATGACAGGAGACCATGATGACAGGAAAGCAAACTAAAAAAAAGTTAACTCTTAAACAGTCCTTACAAAAAATAAAATTAATCCAGAACACACATTAATATTGTATGTTTTGAAGTAATTTCAAATTTTCACATGTGGTGTTTTAAAAATCAGGATCATTTTTACACTAATTTCCTCATATAGCTAATATATAAGATATAGAGATCACCTGTAGAAAGTAAAGTAGGAGAACAGACATTGAAGTCCTTACTATTTGAGTCTAACAGTTGAATTATTGAAAGAAAAAGCAACAGATATTCTACCCATGTTTATCATTCAAGCAAGTAGTAAGTCAAAACTATTCTTACGTCTACAGTATTAAAAACAAACAATGCAGGAACACAGAAAAGGCATCCTATTCTTACCCCTTCCAAATGTATTTTTTCTAAGTTTATGCTTCATTACTTTTAATAGGAAGGGAACCAAACTTTTAATTCCTTCACTGAGGGAGACTTGCAATTTCAGCTCCTTAGAGAGACAGCAACCATTTTGAAAGAGAGTAATTATCTGCAACTAAGGGAGGCAAAAAAAAAGGAAATAAAGGAAAAAGGAAAGGAAATTAAAAAAAAGGAATAACACCAATTTCAACATATTCTCAAATGCTAATTGATTCACTTTTAACAAATTGAGGTACATTCAGGAGGCTCTTTCTGATTCTTTTACAATTGCTTACAAAAGTAAGTACAACTGTTAAGTCTTGCTTAGCACCAAAAAAAAGAAGTCTTGACAAAGGAGAAGAGATTAATCAGAATTTACATTTAACTCAGTGTAATTGAATAATTTGTTTATAGTAAGATCAGTACGGCACTTCTGCAGACAGCATATTTTTCGTACCTACCATAGCTAAATTCTTAAGTGCACAGGTTATCTCAGGTTGAATCATGACATGTTTTCAATATCCCATAGCTCAAGTTACCTTTGTTTTCTTTAATCTCAAGTGGTAAACTGATGAACTTACTTTAAGGTCTCGATGCATCACTCCCATGCTGTGGATATAACATACTCCTTCTAACAACTCTTGAAAACATTTCATGGTCCAGGTGACATCCACCAGATGGTACTGACCTTAAAACAATTTGAAAACTAAATTATTTCAACAGATTTTGCTGAATTGCTTTATTTATCGTGCTAGGTCTTGTTGGATTCAGTTTCTTTATGAACTGGAAGGAATTTTAAATAGACTAAGTATAGGTCAAAAACTGGAATTTCCCATGGTTCTCCTACGAGAATATTTCCTTTATATTGAATTAGTAATTTTTTTAAAACAGTGATGAATCTTACTGAAAGTTTCTTCTGCTCTCTCACTGCATCTCTTATTGCGTTCAGCAATCCAGTCGCACAAGGAGATTTCACACAATTGCATCTGAATATAAAGCATCAAACGATACTCCACCTAACAGAAAAACACTGGTCCATAATTGCGCCAATTGTGTATGTAATATAAACAGCATTTACTTATACATTTTCTTTAAAACTTGCAAAAACTAAATTTAAAAACTAAATATCAGTTTTAAATCAAATTGTCAGTAAACACAATATTACTAAGCTACTTTTAAGAAACAGATGCAACACTACCTTGTTTTAGCTTTCTGCTTTTTCCCTAAATTTTAGCAACTGTTTATAAAGCTCATGGTAAAAGATAACAGAAAAGCCTTTCAAGTTCAAAGGAGAGCTGAAGACTACTTTTGTTCCTTTTTTTTTCCTAGACATACTGAACAGAAATGCACTCTGACTTACAAAAATAAGGTAAATTAATACAAAATACTAAAAAATGGCAACCTGTTAACGTGCGCTTTATGATTTATTGCCAGAAATTTGTTTACTATAATGTGTTGGTTCATTTGATAATCAGACCACGCAAGCAAACATCTGTGCAATCTAGGATTTCCATAAGAAGGAACTTTAAATGATAGCAAAAGTTTGAAACATTCCAGCGCTAGCTACATTATACAAAACAGTTCAGTGGTGTGAATACCATTAAGTTGCAGAAGCATAAGCGCAGTAGCGATCCCCTTGCCTTTTCCTGCTTCCTTCTCTTTCACAAGTAATACCTACTGATAAAAGCTTAATCCCACACTGTATAGGTACATATCTAGATGCTTTAAAAATATCTCAGTTAGCCATCATTACTGAATATGGAAGATATTCAAATTTGATCTTTTATGCATGAGTAAGGGTTTATTTTGTTTTTCTTTTCTTTTCTTTTTTTTTTTTTTTAAATTCATATGGATTCTTTGAAAGGATCCAGGATGCCAAATATACAGAGATCACTCCTCTATGCTGGATTTTGGCAAGTTCAGAGGTCAGCTTCCCTGTTTTGGTAGTATCCACTTAAAGCAACAATTTTCTGTATTTTTGGCTCTAATCCCAGTCATTTGATTTATAAAAAAAATTATTATAAATCATTCCTATGTCTACCTAATTCTACTTTGCAAACACAATCAACTAAGACATTAGTAAATACGTTTAAAGAGAACTCCATTTACCTCAAACGCTCCACACAGAGCTATATCTGTCTGAGAGCTTCCTTCAATGCAGGACTTACTTCCAGCAATACTGTCATTATCCAGGCTAAAATGAGGTCCATATGATGAATGATTTTTAAAATCACTTGATGTGCTGTCAACATGAGCTGTAGAATATTCTTGTAATTCTACAGACAATTTGCATTTATCTGGTTTTGTATAAATTTTATTACTGCTGCTAGTAAAATCATTCCCTTCATCCATACTGGGCATTGATTCATTGTTCAGATTTTTAAGACTGGTACAATCACGGGACTTCTTTTCTTGTGAGGTAAGATCAGCAAAGATAATTGAACTATCACTTTCCACACTCTGAATGTGACGGTGATCACTGAAAAGAATAAAACAGAGAAATCAATATGTACAGTTTTATACCAGCTATTTTGTAATATGGGGTTCTCAATTTTTCTTTTTTTTTTGTGATTGCAAAATGCGGTTTGCATCAGATTTTTGATATCTGACACAGCTCATTGGTACATACAAGCCTAGGTCACAGTATTCAGTGTGCATAAGTATGATGCATTTTCTCTTCTTTCTAGTTAGTAGCATATTGCCCGCTGTAACATTGTCCATTGAATTCAATCATCTCCTTAGGGAAGGAGATTCTAATCTACTTTCCCCAGCCTGCACGTCCTTTAAAAAAATAACCCAATAACCCTGAAAAATAACCTATTTCTATTAAGAAATTCCTTCTAATAGAACTCCGGAGTTATTTAAAAAATATTGGTGAATGGCACAAAATTTTTGAAACAAGCTTAAAGCCCAGAACTAGAGTCAGGCACCTAAAAATCCAAGATCTAAGCTAGATAGGAGCATCAGACAATATTCTTCAGCTCATGCAACCGAAATGGATAATTAACACTTCTTTGGTTGTAATCTGGAAGTAAATAGCACTTTTGTAAATACGTGCCAAATTTTGTAAACTTTTAAGGCTTGTTTTTTTAAATAATCTTACGTGGAGGCCAAATAAACATTACCATTGAGATTTATAATACTTACTTGCCATTCTCTTGTTCCAAAGACAATGGCTCCAAGGTCATTATTGCTTTATCTGTTAGATGAAAAGATAAACATGGTATTTCATAAAACAAAGCATGCAAATATTTACTGCAAATTAACATTTAAGTTATAGTAATTCACTTAATTTACAACTTAACTATCTCCAAATATCTCCTTCTCTATTTTTGCTGCTGAAAAGGTATTCCTTATTCTACTAAGCAACAACAGTGTCTCATTCATCTTTCACATCTTTTTTCATGAAATAAATGTGGTTAAGAGACCTCCAAAGGGATTGTCCTGGGCTCTTTTATATATTTACCGAGATTGCACTTTTAAGAAGTTAGCCAGTTCAAAATCAGGGCTTCTAACATACTTAATGATACACGGAGTTAAAGAGGCATCTACATGCTAACATCTAATCCTTGGCATCACTCGGCCACTGTTTCGGGCGTACATGGTATTTTGGGAATAATTTTCATTAAACTTGCATATTTATGTGAAAAAGACAGCGGTTTGGTTTAGCACACATGGATTTCAGAAGCAAGCATGAAATAACCTATTTTTGTAAGCTAAAGGTAACCATAAGTAGCACGGGATCTATCCATATATCTAGTTAGGTACCTGTATTATCAGTATTTAAATGCTTGCGATTTACTTCTAGAACTAAGATGTTATATCCTTCAATGTTCTCAGTATCAGAGTAGCAGTATCTATTTTACTGTATTAAAAAAACTCCTATGCATTTCCTTTCATGCTCACAGCAGACTAGGGGAGTCAAGTTAATGACTGGAAAGCAATGAAGTCATATACAGGATAAGCAAACCTTCCACTAAAAGAGGATAAAAGATTTAAATACTAAAGACTTTCAAAGAGGACAAGAAAGAAAGGAACCAATGGATTAGAATTAGAAAGGGAGCAAAGGCCATAGTGTGGGAAGGGCTGAGAAAAGAGAAACTGAAGAGACAAAAGTGGGGCAAGAAAGAAGATACCCAATGAAGATAAAAAATAGATGAATTTGGAACTGTTTCAGGAAATATCCGTAAAAACATAAAAATAAAAAAAAAAAAAAAGCAAGCTCTACCACTGCAGAAATATAAAACTAAATTCATCAGTTCTATTTCAAAACTCTCTTGTGGAAAACAGAATAAGAGGGCATATTTTTTGCCATTAAATTATTTCCAAATTCTTTCAGTTTTTCTAAACTGCTTTCAAAAACGTTCCGAGACAGATAAGAAGAGAAGCACAGCGGGAGGGCTATCCTAGCTCTGTCACAGCTTTGAAATTTCAAAGCACACTAGTAAATTTGTGGATTTTTTCCTCTACTATTCATTATACAGCACTTGCCCCATAAATCTGAAGTAGTTTGCTTCCTACTATTCATTCCTCTCCTAGTCAATTCCCTACCTCTTTAAAAGTTTTCCATTGTATTCCACTGAATTTCACACAACTTTAAAATCCTCTTCAAATATTAGCA